ATAAGGAAGACAAATCTAAGGGATTTCGGGCAGATGTTGACGTACAACACGACGAAAATTATTACAAATTTGTAGGTTTATTAAATAATATATAGCTAAATTGAAGGTTATGTTTTGTACATATACAAATTATAGTAAGGAAGGCTATAGAGACATAATTATTTAAATTATTTTTCATTTTGTAGATATATGAAGGGAAATTGTACTGCCGCTTTGCAACAAGAGAAATTCGATTAAGAAATCGAATACGATGAAGATGGTCATCCTATTGCACCACCAGAGAAGACTAAAATTGATCCGTTAACTCCGATTGATAATAACGAAATGGGTTACGAGTAATTTGCGAAGAATTTTTGCAATGTGCATGAAGAAATTGGAAGTTTAAGCAAACAACAGATTGATGATCTGAGGAAAACTCTCGTAATAAAGGTTTCGAGAAACATTATATATGTTGTATTCAAGTTGGAATACAACTTGATAAAGTTATATAATATATAACGTTAAGTTATATAAAAATTATATTAAGTTATATAAAATTTATATTAAGTTATATAAAAATTATAACATAAGAAATAATAAAAAATATTTTTCCAAGCATATATATTATTAATTTATAAACGGTTCAATGGGCATTTAAAGGCGTACATACGCCATTCAATTAAAAAATCTACGAAACGGCAGGCTCTGCGCACAATCTGCCGTCAGTCTGCCGTCAGAGTCTGTCAGCAGGCTCTGCGCGCAATCTACCGGCAGAGTCTGTTAACAGACTCTGACGGCAGTCTGGGGCCGCAGATGTCTATGGATCTGCCGTCAGGTCCTGCTCGAATTCGACAGACTCTGTCGGCAGTCTGACGTCAGTCTGCGCACAGATTGCTTACTGGGTCACATAGAATTTCTAGTGGTGATATGCCCTTATAGAAATATCATACTAAGAATCATTGATAATTACTTATTATCCAGTATTTTTAATACTGAAAATAAGTAATTATCAATGATTCTTAGTATGATATTTCTATAAGGGTGTACTGTGTATTACGATATAATATTTGATATGTGATAATACGTGTATATCGATGTATCTTCCTCATTAAAATAATTTTATTTTATTTAAAGTAAGTTAAGTTAACTATATTTTTATGTATAACATTCGCCAAAATAAAGATGTTACATACTTCCATATATCATTTGTATAATCTTCTTAATCCTCTTGATCGACTTTTCTTCTACTAGGTATTTATTAATGCTTATTTGTTTTTCAAATAACTGTATAAAGTTTCTTTGCTCACAGCAAAGTTGCCTTGACTTTGACAGTACACAATATTTAAAAAATACTTTAAAAATATGGGTATATTAAATATTTTGTAAATATTTAATGTTCGGGAAATGAAGGTATAAGAAATATTATGATAAATATTTAAAAAATATTTATGAAGATTATTTTCCATAAATAATCAAAACACAGTTTTACTTAAATGAAATCACGTTTTTATTATTTATGACAAATATTTTTCATAAATATCTTTTTATATTTATAATTATTAATGTTTTCCATACCTGATATATCCGGACGTTAGAGTATTTATAAAAAATTTAATATATCTATATTTCTAAAATATTTTCAAAATATTGTGTGCTGTCTAAGTAATATAGCAAAAAGTTATATCGCTCATGTAGCTAAACTATATCGTTTATGTAGCAATTATGTATTGCTATAATAGCAAATTTAATTTGCTCACATAGTCGAAGTAAATTGTTCTTTCAGCAAAAACATCTGTTTAATACTGCAAACGCGTTTCGCTCATATAACAAACTTATATTGTGAATGTAGCAAAAGCAATTTGCTAATTGGACAAGAACTAATTTGTTCTTACAGCAAAATAATTCGTACATTCAGCAAATTATATCCAGCAAATAGTGATTACTACTCTTAGCAAATCTTTTTGCTGTCCATATAATAACGAAAAGATTTTGCTGGACTAGCAGAAAATTTGCTGGACCAGCAGAAAATTTGCTGGACCAGCAAATTATTTTTTTCCGTGCAACAAGCGAAGCTTTTAATGAAACGAAAGTTTTAACGTGTTCAGATAACGCAGAGAAAGTGATTGTCCCGAAATCAGAACAAATAACC